TACAATAAAAGTTATTTGTCACGTCATTTGCTACCGAAATGGTATATGTGATCATCGCCGTAGGAGAAACTGTTCCCGAGATACGAGCGAAAATGCGGCGCGCCACATCTCAAGGTGAAAATCGGCTTGCTTCCACACTTCTTGACGTTGATTTCGCCGAGTGCTATCACTCACATTCATTCACCTACGTCAAAGGACACGTTCGGTTAGGTCTCCATACAAATATTTTTTATCGAGTTCCTTCACTCTTGTCGGTTATTTGGCCGAGTCCTATCACTTACATTCATTTCCCTGCGCCATACGACACGTTCGGACTGGTCTCCACATAAATATTTTTTCATCGAGTTCCTTCACTCTTGTCGTTGATTTCGCCGAGTTCTATCACTTATATTCTCTCAACAGAACACAGAACTCCAACCATTTCTCTTGGACCAGAGAACCAGAAGAATTGGTCGCATTGAAAGTGTTGATCTACCTGAAACAAAAAGCATTTCAAAGAAAAATACACGTAAAGAAAAGCTTTCAAAACGTCATTCAACATCAACACTTACCACAAAAGTATCAGCTAGAACACGTGACCATTCAGATCAGCCAGACTCTCATACAGACGACAAAAATGTAGGTGCGTCGCACATAGATTCTTCCAAACACGATGCTGATGATGAATTTTCTCTTCCATTCTCTAAAACCAAACAAAACACACTAGTATTAGAACACACTGCTTTAGCTGCCCAAGGATTTGGAGTAAGTGATAGAGCAGCGGGCTTGATTGTTTCATCTGCTTTTCTGGATGCCAAAAAAGCAGGTTTGATAACAGAGGATCAGGCTAGCTTTGTCACTGACAAATGCAAGATTAGTCGGGCAAAAAATAGTGTTGGAGCTAAGCTCCAAAACACTGAAAGTATTGATTCTGTATATGGGCTGTATTTTGACGGCCGCAAAGAAAATACACTTACACAAGTCAGCGAAGGTGAAAAGTACTACCCCGACACTGTCAAAGAGGAACATATTTCTCTTATAGCGGAACCTGGTTGTCATTACTTTGGCCAAGTCACCTCTCCTTCCGGGTCAGCTGAGGATGAGAAGCAAGCTATATGGCAACATTTACAAGACAATTCAGTTGACGTGGAACATTTAGAAGTTGTCGGTGCTGATGACACTAACACGAACGCAGGTTGGAAAGGTGGAATCATCCGGAAACTAGAAGAAAGAATAGGTAGGCCATTACAGTGGGTTGTTTGTCTTCTACATTTCAACGAACTTCCATTTCGTGCTCTTTTCGAACACATAGATGGTGTCTCAAAGAGWMYAAATACATTCTCTGGCGACATAGGTAAACTGCTCTCTGATTGTGAGAAGTTGCCTGTTGTCAAATTTGAAAGTTTGCCATCCTGCCAATTACCTTCAGGTTATTAATCCGACCCAACTTAGCACAGACCAAGCTTATCTATATAAAATATCAGAAGCTGTTATCTCCGGTCAATGTTCTTCAGATTTAGCGTCGATGCATCCAGGTAACATGTGCAAATCTCGATGGCTCACCTGTGCAAATAGAATTCTGAGATTATACATTTCTACTGACAAACCAAYAAAGGAAATAAAGATTTTGGCCAAGTACATACTTACAGTTTACTCACCTTTGTGGTTCTCAATAAGATTCAACAGTTYAATCAAAGATGGCTCGCGCCATCTCTATGCTGCAATTTAAAAGTCGAGATACTTACCTGCTAAACTGCGCAAGGTTGTCGATTCATCCATTCAACAGAATGATTTCTTTGCTCTTCCAGAAAACATTCTCCTTAGTATGATGACTGACGAACGGATAGAGGTCTTCTTCGTCTTCTGGCAGCCAGAGAGACAGAGTCTGACACTATAAATATAAGGGTTAAATGTAATAAAGTGCCAAAGCTGAATTTCAAAGCTAATAATTGTTACTATATGATTAACTGGAAGGCTATTACCTTGACTGTTCCACCAGATCGTTGTTCAGTTTCTAACGAAGATATGGAAATTTAGTGAATTCCCCTCTCACACCGTGGCAGTTGAGAGAACCGTCAAACTGGTGACAGAGGCATCTTCTAAAGTTATTGGCCCCCAATCTCGTGATCGTTTTATACGCCCTACACTGAAATCTAGGCAACAAGTGCCAAAGTTTAGTACAAAATCTGATTTTATCAATAAATATGGCACAGATTCAGACTAAAACAAGCCTGACATATGGTTGGTTGGCTGGTTGGGTCGGGCTTGGAAGGAACCCGAAGAGCAGCCGCCTCCACGCGGTGGGTTCTGGGTGACCAATACAGGTTAGCTGAGAGCTGCGACAATTTTTACCTTGCGCTGTGGCACGCCGCATTTTCGCTCGTATCTCGGGAACGGTTCGTACTACGGCCATGATTACATACCATTTCGGTAGCAAATGACGTGACAAATAACYTTAGTTTTATGCACTTTGCCATGAGATGCGTATTTCAGGCGCTAGGTAGACAATTTCACGATTTTAGGCGAATTTCCGAAATTTCAAGGCCGGAGTTAGGGTTGAAGATGCAATCCGATCTCAAAACAAAAAGTTGCATTGGAATCAGGAAGTGCTAAGGCAACTTTTCCGCTTTATTAGAAGTCCAGAATCGAAAAAAGTCCGGAATCGACCCACCCTAGTGGCCGACAACGAAAACAAGGGGTCAACGCTAACATTTAAACGTACGTTATTATTGTTACGATTTCATGTATAAAAACAAACTGCTAAGTGTCAACGACTAGTATTAAATAGAATTAAGACTTAAGCCCGGAAATGAAAACGAAAATTAAAAACTGTTTTAGCACGGACCTAACTAGTCAGAATAGATGTTTTACCTAAAACCAAATACCACACAGCCAAATTCCAAACAAGCAGTGTTTAATAAAGATAAAAGCACCTTTTCGGTCAAAACCATAACAATTAAGGGGCTATCCTACTCTAGAATTTTGAAAAATTCGATTTTTTTTTATATATTTAAAGTTTAGACCCTTAAGAACCTATCCTCCAAAGGCTTTTTAAAAGTTAAAATTATTTTAAGAGCTACAGGTACTTTAGTGACATAGTACCTAGCCCGGTAGGTAGGTATACTCACTTTTTAAACGTGTTTTTCTCGAAACTTCTTTTTTCCACACGGTTCCGGGCATTATCTCAAGTTCTATACAACCGATGTACTTGAAATTTTGTGTGAACCTTCTTTATATAATCCTTTATCTTTATATAATCCTTAATCCTTTGTTTTTAATATTTTAAAAAAATTCAGGAATTCCAAAAAAAGACGTAAATAATGATTTTTATTTTCAGATAGTCGCCATTTTTCAAAAAAAAAAATGTTTCGTGTTCCCTGAAATAGGGACTATAACAGCGTCCTTACTGATTAAGAATTTCTTTTGATTTTTTTTTTTTCAGACCACCAGGAGAGTCATTATCAATGTCACCAAGATGAGCCATTTTTTTTACACCTGCCTCCCCCCCTCTAAGTATTTAAATTTTTAATATTTTCTTGTCAATTTTTTTCTGTATTCTTAAGAAATCAATAAAATACACCATAAAAAAATGGATAGTAAAAATCTTTTTGGTTTTTTTTTTTTTAAATAGAATTCAAAAAACTGTCCAAAATTTGTTTTCTAGAGTAGAATACCCCCTTAATATGAAGACTAAAATTAAGCTCAGGGTCTATAGTAACTTCCATATCAACAAAGTTTAAAACTTGCTTTAGTCTATAGTTTTTATTGCATAAATAAGGGAGGAGGGTACATTAGAGCGGGTTGATTTTTGTTCTCAAAAATTGTGTGTGTGGGAAATGTTTTACGGATCTTTCTGAACATGTTTGCCAAGAGAATATGGTTTCAAGACAGCGATTTATTTTTGGTGAAATTGAATTTTTCGAGATTAAAAAACTTTTTTCAACTGATTTTAGGTTATGAAATTTAATTTAATAAGTATTGGTTGAAATCGGCAAGATTGTACAACTATATCCCAGCTGAACRCGATAAACAAGAGTACATATCATATACATTGAATACATCCTGTGAACACCAATGTTCTTATAGAAGTTGCCTGGGTTGCTACACCACGTAACAGCCGCCCCGGCAAGTTTTTTATCGGGGGATTTCCCGTTTGAGAGACGTGGTTACAAATGATATTGATTTCTTTTGCATTTTAGGGTTTCTGGCGCAGAACCTGGTCGCGATGTAGGTAAAAGGCAAGGAATTCATGCCTCAGCCTTTTTCCCACGGGAGACAGCTCCACCAAAACCCCAAGCGATTCCACAATTAATAGGGTACTGCAGGAGGAATAAGTTCCCTCTTATATAATGGGATGATGTTAACGCGTACCAAATGGAACGGGATCTCTTCGTATTAAGGTGAGTCTCTTCTTGAGTTTATTATTAGTAACAATTTTAGTATTATTGATGTCAACGCGTACCAAATGGAATGGGGTCTCTTCGTATTAAGTTGAGTGTCTTCTTGAGTTTATTATTAGTAACAATTTTAGTATTAATTATGTGGGGGGGCGACCACAAAACTCTAGGCAGAGGTAAGACTGTCACAGCATAAGCCATACAAGATCTAATGGTAGTAAAGATCTGATTTAGTAATTTTACACATAACCGTTATATGAAGTGTGGACGTGGTTACTAGCTTTAGAGATTTGTGTGAAATTTATATTAAAAATATTAATTTAAAAAAAAATGTCATTTACATCTGTGTTCGCTTGTACCAAATTCTGGTTTAATATCTTCATTTTGAGCTTGGTTATAGCACTTTATAAGTTTTCGCTTAATATATAATATATTGTAGGCGTGACAATATTTCGAATATGCCTACCAGCAATACGAACCACGCTTGGATACAAGGAAAATGTGTATGAAGTTCCAACGAGATATCTCAAAACTTACTTGAATCATTTTATTTTTGAAATGACCTTCAACTTCAAGGACAAGTAATTTCAGCTATCATATACTATATGAATCGAAATGTTTCTACATTTACATTATTTTTATTAAACAATATTCAGTTCAGATAATTTTTTATATATAATACTCGTATGTCCCATCTTTTGTGCGACAAACTACAATATAAACAATTTTTGTAGAAATGATTTGAAGGCGTAATACCTGTAGCTTTTAGGTCAATATATGGTGTGCAAACAAAACACAAATGTACAGTTAGATTAATATAATTATGGATAAACAATTTTAATTAAATTCAAGTTAAGTTGCCAAAAATATTTAATTTTTCTTGAAGTACTTCTTCATTGTGTTCAATGTTCATAAGATATGACGCTAAAAATGATTTAATTTCTGCTGAATGATGAACATAAAACTGAGCAAACGCTTTACTTAATATTGTGCCCATTAGGCATTTTATTTCTTCAACGAGGCCATCAACTGTGTGGAGGGTTTTACCTTCATTATAAGATATACAGATACAAAAAATGTACTAAAAATAGAAAACTTCACCATGCATACCTTGTGGTAGCCAATTATAATCTTTGAAACAGCAACAACTGGTTGCATTTTGTAAAATACATATTTGAAAAAATGACTCCAGCTCTGCTTCACATTTCTTTATCAAAGAAACTTCTTTGACAAAAAGTTTATGCATTTCGCAAATATCCTTTTCACAATTATTTATGACAGTTGTATCATCCGATTTTATGGCATATCGTTTTAAGTAATCAATGCTTTTTTCATGAAACTGCCTGAATTTGCATTTTTCGGAATTTAAACCTGCAATGCATTGACGTGCATTACTAATAATTTCTTCACTGTTTTTCTTAAGTGCTTCGATTTTCTTTGAAAAACATTCGTTTACTTCGTGCATTGTAGTAATTTTCCGAGTTAAAAGTATAATTTTCTCAGATCCTTCACATCTATTTTTGTTTTCTCTCAGAAACCCAAAATTTATTTTATCCACATACTCTTTAAATTCATCTTGAAGATTACGTAATTCCATTTTTATGCGCCTCAAATCATTGTCGTGGCAAACGAGTATACTCAAAATTTCATGGATACAATTTCTATGAGGATTAGGTAAATTGTCCCTAAATGCTGTAAGCATTTTTGATTTATTTTATAAAAATATTGATATTAACGTATTGTATTGAAATAAAAATGTACATGTACATATGTCACTATGTACGTGAAAGAAAACAAAGAAGCTGCTTATTATTATAACTATTGAGAAATAGGTACATTTTCCCTAAATGCTGTAAACATTTTTTATTTATTTTATGAAAATATTGATATTAACGCATTGTATTGAAATAAGAATGTATGTATATATACATATGTCTGTATGTACGTGAAATAAAACAAAGAACTTGCTTATTATTATTACTACTACACCCAAGTCGAAAGACCAAAAATAAAATTTGTTAAAAGTAATTGCATACATAATATTAAACTCAGCCGTCTTCTTTTGTATTGTTTTTATTTTATGATATGTTCATATTATGTTATTATAATATATGTAATGCATATGTCTGTATGTACGTGAAAAAAACAAAGAAGCTGCTTATTATTATTACTACTGAGTATTAGATACATTTTCCCTAAATATTGTAAGCATTTTTGATTTATTTTATAAAAATATTAATATTAACGTATTGTATTGTAATAAGAATGTACATACCTGCTCAAAATAATAGTGTCACGATAAAACTTAGTACTCTCAACAGTTTAAAAAACTTTTTATGGGCTGTATGCGACAAGTTATGCTGTAAGTTTAATTAAGATAATATGGCATCGCCCTTTCTAAGAGAATAAAACATATGATCCCCCAAATTAATGCGTGTGTCAGTTTTGCGTGAATTCTCAGAAAAAAAATGCTCAATATAATAGTTACACATAGTGAACTTAGCTTTTTGTGAAAAAAAAATTAATTTTATCCAGTTTTTCAAGTTTTTTTATCTGAATTGGTAAGTTTTCTTTCATTAAAGCTCAAAATGTATCTGCAGCATTAAATTATTTTTTAATCAGATGGGTCGGAAGTCACATTGCACTGTTGAAGAAGCCCGGCTGGTTTCAAACCTCAGAAAATAAGGAAAATGGCTTCGGGAAATTGGAAAATTAATGGAAAGGTCTCATAATTAAAAAATGCTTTAGAGCAAAAATCTAGTAGGGAGACTTGTGGAAGGCCACAAAAAAACCAGTACAGTTCTTGATGGCCACATTGTAACTCTTTGTAAAAAGGACCCATTCAAGTCGTCGAAGGTGATATCAGCAGAATTTGGAAATGTAGTAAGAGCCCAAAGTGTTCGCAGGCGTTTGCAAAAGGCCAAGCTACCAAGACGTATAGCCAGGAAAGTTCCATTAATGCGATCAAAAAATTTAGATATGAAGTTAAATTTTACAAGAAGTCATTTAGATTGGTCAGGACCTGATGGAACAAAAAAGTGGAAAAACATCTTATGGAGCAATGAAACGAAAGTAAATTCGTCCAAAAGGAAAGGAGTTTCACGTTCGATTCATAAAAAACAAAAAAATCTGTGAAGCATGGAGGTGGAAACGTCATGGTGTGGGGATGTTTTTCTTGGTATGGAGTAGGTCCTATATACCTTACAACTAATAAATTGACAGCGTCGGAGTACAAGGAAATAATTAAAAATGTCATAATACCCAATRCTGAAGAAAACTTACCATTACGTTGGGTATATCAGAAAGATAATGACCCAAAACATACCTCCAGACTGGTTTAAAAATATTTTGAAGATAGTAATGTTAACGTTTTGAAGT